GTTGTAGTAAAAATATTATCTTAACTTTATGATGGTATGCACACACAATTAATAATTAAGAGAAATATCAATAATATTAGGTTTTTTAACACTTACATTAGTAGAAAAAATGGCTGGGCACACGGGGATGGGCGGTTGGTTCCGAGGCAGAGGGCAGATTATTGGCCCTCACCTGTGTCACTTGTATCAATTGTATCACTATCCACCACAGAGGCTTGCAGGGCCTCTTTGTCAAACTCCCCAAAGTCCATATAAGTCCATATCCTCACCATAATTATCACTATCACTGACTTGGGCCGGCTGTGGTGGGTGGCGGGTGAAGAACTGGTAATGTTTTGATGACTGGGCGACCTTGTGCGCACCATGTTCGCGCAGCTTACACAACATGGCGGATGGCGGGAGGTTTGGATCCAAAAATGGCGCGGCTCGCCAGCCGCTCCCCGCGTAAAGGGGTACACGCACCGCAGAATGTGAGCATCCTGGGTTCCGGCAGGGCACCGCGTAAACGTGGAAACGCGGAATGTGGGACCGCGTAAAGTGAGGGTTAACTGTACTTCACACTCTTGGGAATCACTTTTGGACGTCCGAGTTAACCTCTTGCAGAAGAATGGCGTCACAGAAAACAATCAAGAACTTCTTTAAGCATGTCAATAAGCGCAAGAGCGAAGATTTAGAGGTTAGTGATGGACAAACATCTAGCCTTAAATTGTACATAGTGGATATTTTGCCGTGAACGGCTAAGTTCTGATCTAAGCTAGGATTCCATTCATGCGTTTACAGTACATTTACATTTTCAGTCACTACAGGGGGAGATTGGCGTGTACTCCAAAAGCATAATGCTAACGCAACCTTGCCAGTGGAAACAACTGTGTACATTTCAATGTGATCTATTTTGGTAAATTTGCTTTAGTGCACACAACTCATGTTAGAAAGTCAAAACAATGTTTTTCTAGTGTAGTTTTGTGTTTTGATTGGTCATGACCTTAATTTCCGTGGAAATTGCCTGTTTTTTAGTTTTGGGGGTTTTGGGTGGGGCATTTTCCGACCAAAATTATGGCCAATCGAATACAAAAAACAAAAACAAAACTAGAAAAACAGGCATATAAACCTAACTTGACCTAACTCTCACCAAATGATGGGATCACTTATGTCTTACCTTATTGGCCTGGTTCTGGTTCGTCGTTCCTCTCCTCTCGGTCAAGAAATGGCATTCACAGATTTCGCTATTTGTGGGCATTTTGGGAACCCTCTCCCTGCGAATTCTAACCATTCTCAGCATGTACAGTCCCCTTCACTAGTGCATTTACAGGGTTCCTCATATGAACATTCCACATTTGAGATTTTTTCTATTGTTTTCACTTGATTCCATAGTACAGTGGTCCCTCGGTTAACGAGCACAATCAGTTCTAGAAGGTTGCTCGTTAACCGAAAAACTCGTTAACCGAAACCATTGTTTCAATGGGTTTTTGGGTAATTGGTTCCAGCTCACCGAAAATTGCCTAAATTCAACAAAAAAGGTAGAAAAGTACACTTACTTTGAGGTGTGTATGTAGAAGGCTCCTGGATGATGATGATGATGATGGGAATTAGAATGGGGGTGGAGGAGAAGGGAGAAGAGAAGGCATTGGGGTGGAAGAGAAGTCACCCCATGGTGCCATTTCACCTATAAAGTTTTAGTTCTCTTGGTGTAATTCAAGATTATTTTCTTTAAATCAACACTGCACTGCATTATATATTGTCAATATGTGAAATAACTTTCAAAATGACCAATAATTTGCTTGTAAACACAGAAAAAAAGCGTTTAGTTGAAGAGAGTCTCAAGCAAGATGTTACCTCCACTGAAAAGACATAAAGACTGACGCCTGTATGCTGTGTTGGCAGGCTGGATGGCGTGCCACAAACTAGTGACCCTACCTTCAATTATGTTCAATAATTGTTAAAATGACTAAAAAACTTAATATTAAACTTTTAAATTATTGAATAGTATAAACTTCTTGACATTTACTAAAAGGGTAAGGAATTTAAGCCCTAGAACCGATTACTGTATTGGCGGACTAATACTACAGCTGATGGACCGCCAAATGCAAGCTAAAACATGTGGAGGTCGGCTCATAAGAAACTCGTTAATCGAGGGATTGCTCGTTAACCGAAGTTAAGAATCTTATGGAAGGTAACTCGTTAACCGAAATCTCGTTAACCGAGGCGCTCGTTAACCGAGGGACCACTGTACAGTATGTTTGCTATTGCGAGTTTCTTTCTCTCAAATATAAACAAACACAGCGCTGTCACATTGCACAAAACCTGACGAGCCCCTGTAAAGGCTCTAGTGAAGGGGGCTGTACATGTTCATAAATATTTTCCAGTCTTAATCATTAATGTATTGACTGATCGTACACCTTTTATCACACTGTATCCACCACTTGTGTTCAGTATTTTATGTCCCTCTCTCAGAATATTTATCTCACTTTAAGGATAACTTTTAGTTGATTGAAGATGTAAATTTACAGGTTAATGATGTCACCAAAAAATCAAAGACCGATGAGCAAAATGATCCTTCCAGTGATCCTTCCAGTAAGTATGGAAACTGAAATTGTTTTGTAGTTAAGTTGGATATCTTGGAGTTTGGGCACCCCAGCTTATTTAACCTAATGAATAAACACTCTAATGCTAACCTAACCTAACACAACCTACTCTAACTTAGCATAACCTAACCTAATCCTCCACTTCACATTAGGTTGGTTAAACATCAGGTGAAATAAGCAGGGGAACTTTAATGAAGATAAACCTCCTGGGCTGTTCATTGTGATATCTGTGTAGCTACTGTATTATACTAGACCATTTACAGCCGTTCTTGTGAATGTGAAGTACGATACAGTACAGTATCTTATGGACCTGAAGCTACAGTGCCTTGATGCATCCATGTTCCATTAAAGGTAAAAATAAAAAGAATAAGTTGGCTTACCATTAACATATTCATATAAAATCATTAGAATTATCACATACTATATTTTATACGCCCCTGAGGCTGAGGTTCGGGGTGATGAAGAAGGGACAAGTGGTGACCTGAGCAGGGTTATGTCTTAAGGTAGTTCAAATGATATTTCCAGATTTAAATTAGAGATGATTATTAATTTCAGCTTCTCAACAATACATGTATGATGATGTACTCCTTTTAGTGTGTGGGGAATCATTCATCAAAGAACTGGGCCATACCCCAAGGTGAGCCATGTCTAGCTTGAATGTGTGTGATGATCTCGTATGGTGGGTTAGTGAACCAGACCAATATTTGTCTGTGTCTAATATTGTGCAGTAGCTATTTAAAAACAAAAACAAATGGAATTTTATCTTGCCAACAACACATCTGCAAAAATGAAAAAATCAAAAGTGAGAAACAATATATGTATGTTGTGTTGTCAATAGTAAGTGAAACAATTGAGACCCTGCAATTGTGTGTAAATGAGGAAGAAAGTCAGATCAGCAACCTAGGACTTGGTCACAATTTTCGTGATGCCATATGGCAGCAGGGTCTACCATTAGACAATACATTATGCTTCCAATATCTTCCCAGGCGGTAGTACCTCCCTGTTTGGTAGCTACCTACTACCATAATTTTACTCAAATGATCCTGAATAGTTTATCCAAAAGTTTGGTTCAATCAATATTTCTAAAAAAACAAACAAAATCTCTATGATATGGGAGTGGGGAGCCACATGCACTCTCGGTTACAATGGAGAGAGGACAAGCGACCTATGTGGGGGTGGGAAGGGGGAACTGGCCACATCAACCTTCCCCTCCACCTTCTCATTGTACTTCCTCCTTCCCTTACTCACCCCACCACATCCTGCCTTTACCACTCTCTCCACCTTCCACCTTCTATTCCCTCCACAATTGTTTAAGTATGTAAGAACAAGAATACGAAATAACATAATATAAATCATGAAAAGAAATAAAGGTGAGAAATGCAGTAATTAAAAATTATATATTGTCAATGGAAAATTTAAAAAGTTTCTCCTCATTCTCTCATTTACCTGACTTGACCTGATGCAATATCAGGTCAAACATTGTATATACAGTAGACTTCTCTCATTTGCAGTAGAGGTGGAGAAAGGGATTAGTGGTCTCGTATTTTAGCCTTCTGATGCACTGTCAGGTCACCCATTGTTGGGTGGGGAATTAGTGGGTTGTACAGTTCATTAAAAAAGAATTCATTTTTTGTCAAATATATTACATTATTTACTCAACTATTAAAATATTCATTGTAGTCTTTAATGGGGATACTGTACAGTGGTCTAATCAGATTTGATATAGGCCTACCGGTAACGAATGCTGGAGGTGGGGGGGATTCTGGCCTCATTTGCCAATTTGTTTTTAATATTTTATTACAATATTGATACATTATAAAAACAATGTCCAATAACTAAATTTGTTCAATTTGGGGCTAAATAAGTAAAAAAAATCACTAAATTAATGCTATACCGCTACCCATGGCTTTCCGTGTAAGCTATAATTCTGGTCACATTTCAACCAATTGCATAAGCGATAACCGCACACATGAGACCCACATAAAATGAGACCCCACTGTACATATGTTCACTTCTCACACATGCACACCCATGCTCTTCTTTTTTCTTTTCTTTTTTCATTGTTTATATTAAAATTTTCTTTATATCTAAGCCTCATTAGAATATTGTAATGATTTCATTAATTTTTTCTCAAACAACACAAACAAGTGAGAAACACACTAGAGCTAATGAGAGATGCTGGGCAGGTTGGCTCACACAAGAGCAGACCCAAACATAAGGATGGTTCAAGGGGTCGTGTACTGTGGATACCTGAACTCTACTGTTGGTGGTACTGTGCTGTTACTTTATTTCCTCAGCTACCTCTCCTTTCCTGCTCTTTCTCTCTCTATCATTTCTCCTTCCCTTCAGATCTCTCTGCTCTTCTCCACATATCCTTTCTCTTACTGAACTGACAGAGAGGATTTAAGGAAACTAATATTTTCATATTTATTATTTTGATACTGAAAATGTATTTCAATCCAGTAAATCATGTGGATGGACAACATTGTTGTATGAAGTTTATCCCAACAAAATTCTTGTATCATAACCAAGAGTTTCCAGTTGAATTAAGGGATATACAGTATTTCATGAATACAAATACCCAAAATAAAATTAGGTTGCATCCTAAAAATTGGCAATTAAAGGCCTAATTAAGAAAATGAGTGTTAACATTAAGAAAAGATTATCACAATAAATGAGTTAATGACTAGAGAACGAGAAATATGGGTTAAGTCAGATGTTTCTGACTAAGCGCTGTGAGTTTTAAGTGATAGTACACTTGTGCTATGTTATATTTTACATAGACATACACATTAAATCACAGCTGATTAAATAGAATTGTTATATACACGTCTTCCTGGAATACCCTTCTTTGGTAAAAATATCAACTTTAAAATGAGACGTATTGACATTTTCATCAAAAACCATCATTGTAATTATCTTCCATTTGCTTCTATCACTTAAGGGAAAATTAAATCATGAAAATAAGTTGGAATTCCTACTAGTATACTGTAAGTGTAAATACAAGTACAATATTATACAAGAGTCAGAAAATGAACCTAGTTAACATATAAAAAAATGTTTTAAAGCTGCCACCTAATATTAGGTAATATTTAAGGCAATATCTTGTATGATTTGTAACTGAAATTTATGTGAAAATAAATTACATACATTTGTTGATGTACCTGAGGTTTACACCTCAATAGCAAAAGTAGTTTGTTACTTTAAAATCATTTCAACAACCATTCCAAACATCCCTGGACTTGGTATAAATACAAATTTGTGGCACCTAAGTAACACAAGAGTTAGTATACTCACTTGTGTTAAAGTGTTGAAGACTGGATTGAAATATTTTATTGAGAATGTATTACAGTACTTAATATTCTAATGTTAATTTTAATAAAAATATTTAATTTTGTTTAAAACAATTGCTTTAACTTCCAACTTTCATATAATTTTGGCTGGACTGAGCTTCAGCAGTCTACACTGATTTCAGCTATAAGTAGCTGTCCATCAGTAGTTTAATTGGCTGAGACTTCTACAGCTATGAGTAGCCTGAGCAAAACTTTGTTTTTTTAATACAACCTAAATTTTGTTAAAATTGTGACAATTAATCAATTTGAGCTCAAAAATGCACAGCAAAATTTCACCTATTATTTGCAATAAGGTATGTCTCACAGAGACTGCACGAAAGGCCCTGAATTATATTGATATAACCTATTATCAAATATTTTCCTAAGCAAACTGACAAGGCCCTTCATGTATTGAGCCAATGATGAGCTCTCCAGAGTAAACAATACATGGCTCTCTGAGCTGCTGGCTCAGGTTGTGCCGACCGGGGCATTGGTGCATAACGTCCAAGCAGATTACGGTAACCTTTTCCAATGGTGGCCAATAATGGAGTAGGATTTAAATTTCTTTCGCTACCAATATCAGTAGGATCTGATGGGTCCTCAGGATTTCCATCTTGATCTAAAATAACTGATGAAGGAGGAAGAGGAACTATAGCACGCACTTCATCTTCATAAGGTCTGAACACTGTAATTGGACGCATTGAATCTGCTTCTGCTACAACAACACATCCCCATGTTGTACCAACATAGACCTCACTACCACACACTGCCATTGCTGATACCTGCAAAAATATTTAGGAATATTCTTTAGTGATTGTATTAATGAAATGAAACAAGACAATGTCTCCACTTTTTGACCACGTTTAAAACCCAGAGATAGCTTTAGTAACTGAAAAATGTAAGACAGTAAAACATCCTCAACTGTAGATTCACAGATGTATGTCTGTATACCATGGAATAAGGCTTCAAAAGTCTTGAATTTTTTTCTCTTATTATGGTTCACTCATATACTACAGTATTTGTATATCTGGCAAAGTGCATGGTGCTGTGCTTAATTTGAATAAAAAAAAAATTATTCTGCACCCCTGGGTGCGATGGCTCTCACAACGAACACTGCAAGACTGACACCATGTACAGTTAACCCTCACTTTACGCGGTCCCGCATTCCGCGTTTCCACGTTAACGCGGTGCCTTGCCAGAACCTCACGTGCTCACATTACGCGGTACGTGAACCCCATTACGCGGAGAGTGTCCGGCGCGACGCTATTTTTAGATTCGCCCCACCCGCCACCCGCCCGCCTGCCTGCCTGCCTCTCCCTCCTCCTCCCTCCGCTTGGGCAAGCGGCGCGGTAAGGTTGCGCAGTGTGTGTCTTTGTTGCGTTATCACTGACGTCATATGACGTATCAGACCTGTGATTGGCCATGCATCCCTACCCCCCTCTGCTGCTAGCTGTAATTGGCTTAAAGTATTATGACGTGTCCACCCGGGGGAGGGAGGGAGGGAGGGAGGAAAGACGACGCTTGACCTAGCCGCGGCAGTTTCATCCCTCAAGCCAGTGATAGTGACAGTGAAGGTGACTTTGAGGGATTTGTCAGGGAAGCCCTGACAACTGTAAGTGACAGTGATGGTGATTCACCTGAGGGCCAGTAATCTGCCCTCTGCCTCGGAACCAGCCTCCATCCCCGTATGCCGACCCATCTCTTCTACTACCGTAAGTGTTACACCTAATTTTTAGTTTTCTAACCTTACCTTTATTTTTCCTATGTTAACCTTTATCTTTCCTAACCTAACCTCTTCTATATTACTTGTTTTTCATCCCATCATAAAGTTAAGATAAAATTTTTACTACAACATAGTTGTGTGTCGTCAAAAAGTGGAGTTTGGGGATCGGCCCGGACTCCATTTCAATTAATCCCATATGTTATGTTATTCACTTTACGCGTTCCTCACTTTCCGCGGTACCCTCCGGGTTACATTAACCGCGTAAAGTGAGGGTTAACTGTATTGGTAAGGTTGGTATCGCTGATTGTGTGATTCATTGTAAAACTAATGTGCTGTTATTCCTTCTATCATGTGTTGTAACCACAGAGAAATTATCAGGAATACATATAAAACCCATAGCTCTTCATATGCCATCGCATTATTATTTTATACTGTAGTACTACGTTTAATCACCCACATACGGTAGGAATGGCAGACACTCTAGAAACTGAGGTGCTGTATAGGAATTTCGCATACTATGAGATACAACGAAACAGTGTAAATACTCATGATTATAATCCTCTTTCTGAGAAAGTGATGAGAAGTGGCATAATACAAGACCTCAAACAGAAAAAACAATACGAAACATTTATAACGTAGGAAAGTTACACAATATTAAGCATAGGTACCTGAGCTACCGGAAAGATGTGAGTTAAGAAACGAGCTATATCTCTTTAATATGTCACAATATATGATAAGAATAGGGGGTTGACCAGGGGTAACTGGTAGTAAAATTCACAAAGCAAAAACATTGTCAGTGTAATTTAACACAGTGTAGCAAAGAATTTCGCCATCGGAAGTGTGCTCGTTTAAAAGAATGTAATGAATCTGTTAGAAACGGACCAGTTTCGATCTGCAAAGGGCAGACCATCAGAGCAAACAGCAGTTGTAATAGGCCATACTCCAGTCACAGATATGTTAGTCATTATGAAGACCTCAGAGAGAACATGCGTAACAATCATAGCACTTCAAGGAGAGGGCCTGAGCAATGGTGGGATTGCTAGGCGACTTGGTGTTTCCAAGCACATTCGTAACTGGGTGTTTATGTCTGTTGCACTAATACAGTGGTCCCTCGGTTAACGAACGCTTCGGTTAACGAAATTTCGGTTAACGAATTACCTTCCATAAGAATCTTCAATTCGGTTAACGAAAAAAATTAGACTAACGAAATCCTTATGAAAATCACGTTTTGTTTTGAACATCAGCTGATAAGCTGAGGAGGTACTCAGCCAATTCAGTAATTCTTCTATGTTTACATTTGTTTCCAATGGAGTAAATATCAAGAAAATTGTGCACTTTAATATTTGTGCATTTTTTATACTGTACAGTAGTACCCTGATTTACGCGGTCAATTGAACCCACAGGGTACCGCGGAAAGTGAAATCCGCGTAAATGGAACAACAGAACATATGGGATTAATTCCAATAGAGACTGGCCTGACCCCCCAAACTCCACTTTTTCTGACACAATACCTATGTTGTAGTAAAAATAACATCTAAATTTTATGATGGTATGCTCACACAATTAATATTTAAGAGAAATACAGTTGCCAGGTTAATGTCCATTCAAATAATAGACTCAAATCCCCCCTCTTCCCAGCTCACTGGCCCCTACCTCTCTGAGAAATGATTGGGTGAAACACTAGATTTTAACGTTTAGTAATAAATAATACCTCAGACTAAAGATAGGATAATATAATTGACATTTCTGGATTCCTTGCAGGCCAGGGAATATTTTGAATGTAAACTTCATATATTTTGCACAAAAGATAAAATACTTGCTTTGTGTAAACCAAATTATTACATTAGATCTAAAATTTGTATGTCTAATGCAAAATCCATGATGTTTATATTCAAAATGATCATCATATTGTAAGAATTCCAGCAATGTAAATTATATTCTGGTCCAGTAATTTGTATGAATTTTATGAGCTAAAACAAATATCTTCAGTTAATAAAAAAAAAATATTCTTCACGACACTATCTGTCAATCAAAGTACCCCAACTTGCCTCCCCCCCTCTTCCAACCGCGCCAGATGGTCGGTCGGTCCCAACCCTCCCCCCCCACCCCCACCTTCCCTCCCTACCAGAGAAATGTTGGGTGAAAAAACTAATTTTAACTTTTAGTAACAAATAATACCTCAGACTAAAGTTAGGATAATATAATTGACATTGCTGGATTCCTTGTAAGACCAGGAATATTTTGAATATAAATGTCATATATTTTGCACAAAAGATAACATATTTACTCAGAGTAAACATTAGATCTAAAATTTGTATGTCTAATGCAAAATCTATGATGTTTATATTCAAAATGATCATCAAATTATGTAAGAATTCCAGCAATGTAAATTATATTCTGGTCGGGTAATTTGTATGAATTTTATGAGCTAAATAAAAAAAAAATCATACTTCACGCGTATATAGGTAGATGAACCGCGGAAAGTGAAAGTTTGGTTCTGGCGAGGCACCGCGTATATGAGAAATCGCGTAAAGTGAAACCACGTAAAGCGGGGTAATACTGTACAGTATTAAAATTATTTTTCATTCTAAAGTTTAGCCATCCAAGCTCTGTCTACATAAAGTTATTCAACTATTATTTTTGGCTCAATATATATAACTTTATTCATTTATTGAAAGTCATTTACATGCACACACTGTCCTAAGGGCAAAGCTGAACTGTACATGTATTCAAAATAATGAACAAAATGATTACTAAAATTTTTGTCTAGTGCAAACTATGGCATGCTTACATTCAAATTAATCACTATATTATAAGAATTCCAGCAACGTAAATTATATTCTCCCCGGTCACTTCTATGCAATTTTATGAGCAAAAAACTAAAACTCAACTAAACGACATAAATAAACAAATAAATACTTCACCAGACCTTCGGCGCTAACTATCAAAGTATATCTCACCTCCCTCTCCCCCTCCCTCCCTCCCTCTCCCCCATCTGCCAAGGCAGGGTTTTAGGCTTACAGTTTTTATCTTATATAATATCTCAGACTAAAGTTGGGAGACTATAATTTGCATTGCTGGAACCCTTGCAAGACAGCGAATAATAATCCCTGTGCCCAGCCATCTCTTCTACTAACGTAAGTGTTAAAAAACCTAATATTATTGATATTTCTCTTAATATTAATTATGTGTGCATACCATCATAAAACTAAGATGTTATTTTTACTACAACGTACGTATTGTGTCGGAAAATGGGTAGTCTGGGGGTCGGCCCAGTATCTATTTCAATTAATCCCATATGTTCTGTTATTTCATTTCGTGTTATACGCGGACCTCTATGGGTTTAATTGACCGCGTAAAACGAGACTATACTGTACTTTTCTGTGAGCTGAAACCAATTACCCAATATCCCATTGAAACAATGGTTTTGGTAAACAAAATTTTCGGTTAACGAACGACCCTCTGGAACGAATTGAGTTCATTAACCGAGGGACCACTGTATAATGATAAGCATTCACTCATAAACCTTTATGTTGCCAAAACCGATAGGTAATGACAGTTGCTTTTGATATTAATTTGATTATTTTATAAATATAATTATACACCCCCCCCCCCTTGTATGATGTTAACTGCTCTATTTGCATCTTGTAACACATTGTGCATGCACACACTGAAACACCTTATGGTAAATACTATCTAAATTCTACAGAGTAACTGGAAACTCAAGAAGCCAGGGCTACCAACATCCGCTGTAACTCATGAGTGTTTTCAGAATTCTTGGTCTGGTGTGACATACTGTAGGAACCCGTAAAGGTGCAGAATAATATTTTGCTGACTGTACATACAGTATTAACACAGATAAACAAACCAAGTTTGAGAGGCAGCTGGTAGGGTACCTGGCAGACTGTCAGTCTCTTATTTTCTTTAATGAGTACACATGCATATTTGTAATCCACAAAATTCTGCGATGACACTGATCACTGCTATCATTTTACACCTGTAGTATTAAAGAACATACAAGCAAAGGCATGTTTACTTTAAAAATGTCTTAAATATATAAACACAAATGATTGACAAACAACTGTGTGTGGCATGAAGCAGTGGTGTTAGAGGGTGTAAGAGAATACCTAAAGTTTTATTTACAATACTATGACAGTAGTTCAAATAAAACAATACTGGAATCATTAGTACTGAGTAATACCTAAGCAAAATCTTCAATGCATGAGGAAGGATGAGGTGGGGTTGGTGGTTGTGAGAGAAGTTCATTTATTGAAATTTACAGCACTGCTTTAAAAAAATGAAAGTTTAACACTCCACTCAAAGTGAGAATTTTGAATTCAAATTTAAGATGTAATTAGAGTGATGGATTCTATAAGATGAACAGTACAGTATATGTATTCTTGTAAGCCAAGAACCTTCATATGCCTTGTGACATATTTTTCTTAGGATTTTCGTATTCTCTTTACTTCACCTTCCACTGATGTTTTTAGGAATATAAAAATTATGGACTGTTAAGTTTACTGTAAAGCTCTAAAACTATTATATATTGCAGAATTATGAACAATAATTCTAGGTTTGTCATTCTGACATGTGTACTGTACATAATACTTACTTGGCAATGAGATGGAGACAAGTGTTCCTCAATACTAATAGATTGCAAACTTTCAGAACATGGCACCAGCTTGGAGCAATCTAAACGATTCACTAGTTTTTGGTCTTTAGCATCCCAATGGTACACGACACATCCTGAAAATTTTTGAAATGTAAAAAAATCTAAAGAATTCTTGATGCAACACCTTTTAAAGCCACTGTCAATAATACTTATTGAAATTAGAATTCATAAAAGATATATTCTGTCAGATGCAGTTATTAAGGTCTTTCTAAAAATCTCTTTTTGTTTTCCTTTTTCTTGCTCCTTCATACTAAATCACTCACAATAACCCATCTCACAGACCGCAAATTTTGTCTGATCTATAATATTCTGGGAAAGAACTCCTTATATCCCATCTTGTAACTCCATAGTTAATTATTCAACAGCACAGACACACCTTTTGCTCTTACTCGAGGTACTCCAAATTTATACCTCTCATTTTTCTCAAACTCATCTTATGGTTTAACTTGGACATATTTTAGTTTCAGTCATCCGGGGAATCTAGGTTAGGTTAGGTTTGGATATCTGAATACCGGATGACCGAAACTAAAATTTTACCTTAACTTGCCTCAAAGAAAACTAACACATCCAAGATCCTGTAGTTGATCAGAACTTCAGCATTTCTTTTCAAAAAATTTGACTGCACTCATGAGCATTCCAACACTTTTTTTTCTTTTTTTTAAATACAGAAAGTAAGGTAGCTAATCACCCCTATGCCCTAGAACTGGGGAAGGAGGTTAAGATTTGTCAAGCCCCTGAGAACCGGCTCTTTTGATGGTACGTACTTTCTTAAATGTTTCTTACCAGGATAGACATATGACCAGATCGAATTTCTTAGATGTGGCGAGACTGTTGAAAGATTCTGCGGCGCATGAAGAATTAAGACATCACAAGCATCACTGGTTGGTGGAGGTGTTGAAGTAGTAAAGTGTGATACAGCATCCTGACTCAACACTAAGCCATCATCTCTTAAAGAGAATACACTCATTGTGCCCTCACTTCCTCCACACCATAAAGACCTGGAAAACAAGAATTACATCAAGCTTTTATTTGTAAACTCTAAATATCTAACTTTATTTGACATTAATAGTGTAAAGTAGAAAAAATATTGAGTAAACTAAAAAAAATCTATGATGATATTCTCTGATAACTAGTCACAGATAAAAAAACATTTAATGCTATTTCGTAAAGAACATTTTCTTAATGATGTCTTCAATCCTTCAAAAAAATCTCTCCTCAGAAACAGGGACAGATAGGCAAACTGAATGTCAAAAGAATTTCCAGTGTGTTCTGAGGGCTTGACTGCTTTATGAGCTACTTGTTCTGTCAGTACATAACAGATGATGAATGTTACACAAGAAGACAGGAATGAAGGAAACTGTAGCATGCCTATTGGCCCATACTAAGTAGCTCTGCTTACACCCAACCTACATCTGTCCAACCTATATTTGAAGCTTCCCAACATGTTCAAATTCATGATGGTGTTTGGTAACTTGTTCCACTTTGTATAGATATGTACATACCAAGAGATGTGAACACGCCTGACGCCATGACTCTGTTACCATTCATTGTACCATTTATTCACATGTCTGTATTACTACATATTATTATAGCATGTCTGATACCTATGCTTATGTCTAATGCCTATGTTCACTTACTATGTCCCGATATACTATGTCTGTACCGTGCTAGTCAAGTAACTAGAAGACCTCATTTATTGTCCTAGCAATGTCTAGCAACTCTCCTTGCCTAGCTAGCTAATTTCCCTCAGATCGGCTTCGGCCTGCCTACGACGAGGAGTTCCTTGTGCTGGCTCCTGTTCCTGTACCGGTTGGCTATCACGCCAAGTCTTGTACCACTTGTTGAATATATCTACTGCTCGTGCCCTGGAGTTTCAAGAACCTTGTCTAGGATTGCATCCACTACATGGCGCAGTTGAGTAGCTCCAACATGACAGTTGACAAGTTGCAAGAACCGGCCTCGTCTGTTTCCCGCCCAGAAGATATACTCCACAGTGCCCCTGGATTTAAAGTGCTTTGTGACCTTGTGAAGTGCCCTAAGTGAAGTGCAGTGCCTTTTATGTCTCTTTGCTATGTTTCTGCGGCCCTACAGGTAGCAGACACGCCTTCAGCCCAGTTTCCAAGACAGCACTTCCGGCATACATCCTCCATCTACGCCGGCCCGCAGGCCACTGCCTGTGTCCCCCTCCCACTGAGCCAGCTCGCCCGCGCGCGGAGGAATACAAGCACCACCACCGCCGCCAGCCGCCTCCTCTCACTTCACAAATATTACAGTCAGTACTCTTTTACTTGCCTGCCAGTTCCTGCACTTAAGCAAGTCCATTGACGAAAACATAGCACTTCACCTTATTCTCCTTGTCTTTCCCATCGCAACCATACCAAACACGAGATGTCTGACCACGACGATTTGCCGGGAAATTTAGATGAGGATTATGAGGTAGACGAAGCCTCACAGACCCTCCCACCCCACCTCACGCCTCACACGCCGGGCGCGCCAAATTCAGAGGATGGGAGCCAGGATATACGTCGGTTAATCCACTTCCTACAAGTTTCCCAAGAGAAGGAAGCCCAAAGACGTCAATTATAGGAGGAAAAACGACGTCAAGAGGAATGGTCAAGACGTCAAGAGGAATTGTCAAGACAGTCAGAGGCATCAGCTTACCGCCTTCAACTTCAACAGCAACACCAAGCTGATAACCACAAACTCCTGGGACTATTGGAATTGCTGGCAACGAGGACGACTTCACCAGCTGCCACAACCAATTCGCCAGCTTCAGCCTCTTCATCTATCCTTCAGACAACGCCCCCTCACACGTCACCTATCCCCCTTGGGTATACCTCAGTGCCCTCTCAACCACCTGCTCCAGTCTCAACTCTCGTCGACCTCTCCGTGCCTCCTCCACCGCCTGCCGTCTCGAGTACACCCCTGCACAGCAAGTCTTCAGTTCCCAGTCCCCCACCTCTTCAACCTGATGCAACATATCAAGTATACCGTCAATGGCGACGTCGTTTCGAAGACTTTGCTGTTATGTCTGACCTCAACCGAATGCCCCCTCATAAACAACTCATCCAATTAAGATCGTGCATTTCCCTCGATGTTCAACGCCTCCTAGAGCACACGCTAGCCATCCCCCTGACTCCCCCAGGTCAGTGACAGAGGTTTTAAACGCCTTGCAGAGTCATTTCCGTGGCCTCCGCAATGAAGCTCTGCGTCGTAGGGAACTGCTATCCTGCAAACAAGCTTCTGGGGAATCATTCTCAGACTTCTACGCACGACTTAAGGACCTAGCAGCCGAGGTGGACCTATGTACAGGCGATCCTGTAACCTGTGCTGAGATCCAGCTCAAGATGATCTTGCTGATGGGTGTACGTGATGAGGACCTGCTTCAGAAACTCCTCACCCTCGATCGCCGCCTCCTCCCTTACCGACTTCGTCACCAGATGCAGACGGCGTCCTCTCCACAGCCCCCGTCACAGTCACCAGTTTCTTCTCCCGAATCCTGCAGAAACTGTCAGCGCCAGCACGGTCCAGGAAAGTGCCCTGCGGTTGATAGTAAATGTCGAAACTGCGGGTTTCAAGGCCATTGGCCCCGCACAACTCGATGTCCTGCCAACAAGGTCGCATGCAACGCCTGCAACAAGCAAGGACACTTCGCCAAGTGTTGCAGGTCCACCAAGAAGCCTCCATCCCCAGGTCAAAACGTCTCTTCACAGCCCGACAGAACGTCCACACCACCATCTCCCAAGAACAACAAAGGATGCCGACGCGTGGATGACGCCTCGAGTGACAGGTCCCCCAAGCCCGTCAATGTTCGTCTGTCCTACGGTGCCAACTCTTCCAACCTCCTGATGATACCTGACACGGGCGCGGACATCACGGTGATTGGACCAACACACCTGGACGCCCTCAACATTCCCAGGAGTAACCTGTCACCCACAGCCATGAACGACGTGCTCACAGCGGACGGGTCCCCGATGTCTCCAGCTTTGGGTTGCTTCAAGGCAACATTACAGCTCGATCCCACAGTCCACGTCCATGAGGGCATCCAAACCCCTCTCTTGTCATGTGGCCATTGTCAGGACTTGGCCATCGTCTCATCCGAGTTCCCAAAGCCCATCCTCGCCGTGACACACTTCAACAGGTGTGCAGAGATACCTGTTTCAGCCATGACCACACCTGCTGCCGCCCGGGAGTTTTTTCTTCGTCAGTTCAGCGACGTCCTTGTCTCCAAATCCGACCTCCAGAAGACGCCGCTCAAGAAGATGACAGGCCCCCCGATGAGAATCTACCTCAAGCCGGGCGCGACGCCTTTCGCCATCCACACACCCGGGCCTATCCCCTTTGCCATACGGGACAAGGTGAAGGCTGAGCTCGATTCTCTGGTGCAGCAGGGGATCATCAGACACGCCGGTGAGGAGCCCTCCGAGTGGTGCCACCCTATGGTCTTGGCACCCAAGCCTGTAGGTGTTCGCATCACAGTGGACCTCACCCATCTCAACTCGCAGGTCTCCCGTCCCGCCCATCCCTCGCCTACGCCCATCCAAGCAGTCCGCAGCGTCACCCCGTCTGCAAAGTTCTTTACCACGGCGGATGCACTACATGGGTACTGGCAAGTCGACCTGGCGGAAGAAGATCGCCACCTCACTACATTCATCACGCCCTACGGCCGCTTCCAACACTGCCGCGGACCCATGGGCTTCGCAGCAACGGGGGATGCGTACTGCCTCCGTGGGGATATGGCTCTGCAGGGTGTCACCAACTGCGTGAAGGTCGTAGATGACATCCTGCTCTTCGACGATGATCTCCCCGCCCACTTGAACCGAGTTCATCTGATGCTCACAAGATGTCGTGCCCATGGTATCACCCTGAACAAAGATAAATTTGTGGTCGCCGCCTCCCAAGTTAACTATTGCTGCTACAACATCTCGCCAGAGGGGATCTCAGCTGATGAGGAGAAGGTCAAGGCCATCAGGGACTTCCCTACTCCAGCGAACCTGACCGACCTTCGCTCATTTATGGGCCTGGTAAATCAGCTGGCCGACTTCTCCCCTAAAATCGCCACATCAGCCCAACCTCTACGCCCTCTCATGAGCCCCAAGCGCTCTTTCCTCTGGACTCCTGACCACGACCTAGCGTTCAGGAATGTTAAGAAGGCGTTGCTGTCACCACCAGTCCTGGCACCCTTCGACCCGTCCTTACCAGTGGTCCTCCAGACCGACGCCTCCCGTCTATACGGCCTCGGATATGCCCTCCTCCAAGACCACGGCCAGGGTAGACTGCGCTTAGTTCAGTGTGGCTCCAGGTTTTTGACGGACACGGAGACCAGATACGCCACCATTGAACTAGAGATGCTGGCAGTCGCCTGGGCTATGGCCAAGTGCCGCCTTTACCTGTTCGGCCTTGGGCATTTCACCCTCATGACGGACCATCGCCCACTCATACCCATCCTCAATCACTACACGTTGGACGCCATCGAAAATCCTCGCCTCCAACGCCTCAAAGAGAAGACCGCCCCTTACGTCTTTACAGCTGTGTGGCGCGCCAGGAAGCTTCTGTGCATACCAGACGCCCTCTCCCGAGCCCCTGTTAGTCGCCCCACACCTGAAGATGAAGTCGATTGTACCACGGCCGCTGCTCACGTTCGGTCTTTAGTGACACACACAGCCACTTCTCTTGCTGACAAGACGACGACGACGCCCTCCATCGAAGACGATAGGACTCTCCAGGAGCTTCGCATCGCCGCCGGTCAAGACCCGGCATACGTCCAACTCCTCGACTACGTCTCCGCTGGATTCCCCACCAACCGCTACGACATTCACGCCTCCGCCCTCCCCTTCTGGAAGCTAAGGGATAGCCTCTATGCGGACGGAGAGCTGGTGTTGTACGGCCCCAGGATCGTCGTTCCCGCTGCCCTCCGCCGGCGCACCTTATCCCGCCTCCATGACAGCCACCGCGGCGTTGAAGCCACCAGGCGCAGAGCCCGTCAGACCGCCTTCTG